CCAGATGGCTTTTAGTTTCTGCTAACTTGACTGCATTACGCTATGAAAAGAGGATCTATAGGAATAGGAGTTGTAAACTAACCTAACCTAACTTAACCTAATTTGGATAAGCATCAAAGGTCTGCAAGAAAAGCCTCCAGTTAGTCATGCAATAATGGTGGAGAGTTGGGGTAAGCGTGGGGGGAAGAAGATGCTGGGGGATAGTAAGGCAGGCTTGCAGGGAAACAGTGACGCGGGGTTAACGTCTTGCGGATTAAGTAAGGTGATGACACATTCCCGTTTGGTACAGTTCACATTTGCGACAATGCAGATTATGCAGTGTGGTCAGCGGACACTTAGGATAACAGCATATGTAAGAAGTGATGGTATGGGTTAGTATAAAGCATTGGAGAACAACGTATTGACCAATAACTATGTGGAGTAGCAGCTTGTGTGCTGAAGCAGTGTTGCTTTTAAGTTTGTGTGGTGAGATAGGTTTGTAATTTGTTGGTCTATGGCTGCACACCCGGTATGGGCCGGTTGCCCGTTGGGCCCTGATATTATATAAATTGGTCACTTTGGTGATTAAAGTCTAGGGCCTAGGTACTTTGTAAGAAAACACGAGTCTGGAAAGACATGGCTAATATGAGAAGAATATAACTCAACCCATCGGCGTCAACCAGAAATCAGGCATGGACACAGGCCAAGCCATGACAAGTATGAGTGAAACGTGAACCATCACACTGTTTACACAATCACACACACTACTGACACTAGCTAGGTAGTTCTAATATCCTAATCATATTATAACCATAATTAATCAAATATAATACCATAATTACAGTCGATGGGAAACATAATGCGTCTAAAAGAATAAAAATTCAATAGGCTTTTGATAATGAATCATCATTGTCCAGTGTCCACCTCAGGCTCAGAGGCTCGCATTTCGCCCCATAACCACGCGCCCTGACCGGCGAATACCTAAATGCTGGCGGCTGGCCAATGGCGATGAGTCTTTTTTTCTTTAGTTGGAATTTATGGGAGCCTCTGAAGACTTGTTCAATGCGGCCCCACGTCAGAACAGTTCAAGGAATTTGACTGGATTTTGTTTTAAGGTACAATATTGGGTGTCTTGAAAAAAAATCGAGATTTCTCAATGGCTGAAGGGTTGCAGAACGGGGCCACCAAAGTGGAGACCACACCGGGGCGGAGAGCACCACTCTTTCAAATAATGATGTGTGATGCAATGCCGAGGTCTCATTGCCATTTTATTGTACAACCAAAGGATAATAAATGTCAACAAATTTCGCGTAGATGCAATTTTAGCAGCACGAATAACATGCTTAGACGAACTGCTCGGCGAGCAGCTCATATATAACCTCCTTCCATCGCGCCAGGCGTATTACTGATCGGGCAACGACTCACTCGACGAGACAAGCCTTCTATTGGCTGCGAGGGGGAGAGCCGGGGCAAGGCGTTATAGGGACGGCGGTTTGCGCTTTAGCCTGTGGAGTAGAGCGCCATGAAGCAGTGGCTGTGACGTAAAGGCGCTGTTATGTCGGGCGCTTATTTTTAAAAGCCGCGAATACGCCAGGCTGTGTATAATACAAGCACGCAACAGTTTGGCTATTTGCCCACGGCTGTTGCTTCGGTGGCTTGATGTCAGTTGGCTGATTGATTCATATCCAGGAAAGGAAATGACACCTATGGCTTTAGGCACTTAATCACACAGGCTAATATGCCCTCTAGCGTGATTACGAGCGGAAAGGAATTGATATTGAATTGTGGGCAAGGGCTATGTAGGGGTCTATACTGCGTCCCGTCGCCTACGGCTCTCATACATCACTGTTATGAGTGACTAATATGGGACGCAGTATAGACGAGGACGTATATAGAGAGCCGTAGGCGACCAGGGTTTAAAGTGTTAGCCGGACATGCATTCCTGTATGCGAAACTTGCAAGAAGATTATCAGCGACACCTTCAAGATAAGCGTTATCAGTGCAGGTATCGAGCAAGTATTGGATCATTGTAAAACCTGACACATATTAATGAAGAAGAATAATGGCAGTAGGAGCAATCACTTCTATAAAGGACGAAAGATTGAAAGGAAACGTGTAGGATTGTCCTCCTCAGAGGAGTATCGTACTTCACATAAAAATAGAGAATGCAATGATATGTGAGGACGTAAACAAGCACTCGAGTGAACCAAGATAGATTTATGTTATACACATTCACAGAAAAGGAAGTCATAAGCGACATCAACTCGTGGATGCGTTGCACCGTTCAAGCGCTAGCGGACATATGGCGCTGTTCCCAAGTTTCCCAACGCATACAGGATTAACGGAGACAATCAGTCGCTACTTGAGGACGTGGATGTTGCGGGTAGAATCAAGCGTCTAATGCCAAGCCAGTGCAATGTACATAGGCTCCTCATTCAGTTGACGAAAGCAAATAAATATATAGCTTCTATCGTTGCTCTCCAGCAGTACAATTATCGTCAGTTTGTATCGTTGTTTAATTTAATTAGATCTTCACGGTTGTCCCGAATAGTATGATACCAATAGCTCGGATTTCTCGGCGAGAGTGCGAGACTACGATGCCGATAACATGGGCGTTGTGCTTGATGCACCTTGCCTCAGATGGAAGCCTCACATTGAAATGCTGAAAACATCTTGCTTGCCGGTACTTAATCTACTGAAATCCACATCCCACAGGCACAGGGGTGCTGATCGTTGTAACCTTCTAAAGCTCTACAATGTTTACTTCGTAGCAAACTTGATGACGTCTCTTCCTTCTACGCATCTGCTGCCCAATCGCACCAATCCAGCGGAATGTACTCCAAAACAGTAGCAACAGAATCGCTACAGGCTGTAGTAAAGTAACTACAATCATTAGCTTAGCAATTGAAGCGAATATGACTTCTCATAAAATCCATAGAGACCAATTATTGTGCAAATACTATTTCAGACTACGGCAGCTCCCCGAGTGCCCAGCCCCCAATGAACTCTTCCTTGCCAGGCACGTCTGTCCAGAAAATGGGCACTGTTCCTTTGTTCCTCATGCCTGAGCAATATTCAGCAGCGTTGGCTCTCTTGTCCACTTTTTATTGCTTCCCCTTTGATTTCACCTCGGCCTCCATGATACAATGTTGACAACAATATTTTTAACAACTTCACTTATATCCCAAAGTCATATAGCTCACCTTCTGATATCACACAAATGTTTCATAACTTTTCTCATAATATGTATGCAAGCTGTGTTGCTGCCTACACGGATGGGTCGCGAGTGGAAGAACCCACATGCTTTGCATCAGCTGCTGTGGTAATTCCATCCAGGAGAGTTTCTCTCAATTGGAAGCTCCGCCCAGAGATACAAGTATTGGAATCGGAACTATTTGTTATACATGAGGCTCTCACTTGGGCCCAAAATAACCTTCTTTTGAATGAAATTTTTTGATATAAACTAATTAACTAAGCTCTGTTTCTGATCCAGTCCATCCGCAGCCACTGCGGAATACCTGGACACGAAGAGGCAGATCTTGCTGTCTGATAAGCCCACACCCTCCTCTAACGTACTGTAACCACCCCGAGCTGAGAAGAGCTGGTGAAGTCGATAGAGGATGCTATTACTGTTAGTTGGTGCACATCATGGCACCAGTAAATGGGAAGATCAGGAAGGGGTCTCTTCCTTGCTCAGGTCACGGACAGTCTAGGCACATGACCATGGGCCTCTTACCCAAGTTAGGCAATTGAGACAACCATAGCTCATCTACGTACGGGTCAGGCTGGTATCTGGTCACACCTGACTCGTTTCGGCCAAGCTCCCAACCTACTCTGCCCCTGTGGCTCAGTAGAAACTATTCATCACCCTATTTTTGAATAGTACTAGTCATACTGGTGCCCTTGGTTATACGATACCTGAGCCGGCACCCATTTCGGTGCAACGGGCGCCTTTCAGTTGGCCGATGAATGACTAGAACTTATTGGCCTTGGCCGATCACTGGCCACGTATTATTCCTCGCACCTCATTGAGCTCCCCTTTACCGTACCGCCTGGCGTGGACTAGCAGGTGAGAAATTTACGACGTCTTTTTCCCCTCATCCCTTCCACAACGCCCTAATTTCAGCAGTTACTATACTCCACATGAAAGGTTGCTCGTATATAACTAGTTTTTGGTGATAGATATCTACAAAATGGAGGTTGATTAAGATATGTATTTAATACCGTTCAATAGAGAATACAGAGCTGCGCTGCGCGAGAATAACCTGTCAGCCGGCATTCCTTCTCCAATAACTCCTAAAATTTTTTGAATGGGCATTAATTAATGCCACTCATTTAGTCCCAGTCAAACGTGAACTCTATCGGCCCGCAGTGCATGAACTGCGCAACTATTCATCCATCTGTTAGAATAATCAAGCTAAAATCTCGGTTTACGGGAAATGTGATATGTATAAATTCTTCGGTTAAATTCATTGCCTCAGCAGTCAGCAATGCAACATTTCTGTACACTGGGCCCGTCTCCATCATTTACATCGTGAATTATCTCTTAATGTTATTTTATTTGCCTTTTTTCCAATTGGCACAAGTAAAGGGCATATCTTAGAGGAAAAATACTGGAAAAATAAAGGCAAAGGCAAGGCAGATTATGTTTATTGGAATTCAGGTACATCATCAAGTGCCGCGGCGTGACACGCTTCCAGCACTCTCCTTACAGACAAGAATTTCGAACAGAAAACGCAAAACAATCATAACGGGAATGAAGATGAAAATATGTAGAATAGTTATGCGTTTTGGGTATAAAAAAATAAATAGCAAATTTATCTCTAATATAAACGTTAATTTTGATTCAAAAGTAGGCACTAGACAATTAGGTAAATATTTCAATAATATGTAAGCCCCTCATTTTGAAATAAGACCATATTGTTTAAATATAGCCAGGGCTTTCTTCAGTACAGGTCGAGGCACCCGTGTCCAGCTCACTACAGCACCCTGATGACTGGATACTGAATAATAAAAGTCACAATCAGTCACTCCGCCGGCCAAGAGGCAGTCATTGACGCAGCTTAGCGCCTCTGTGCCTAATGTGCCCGACTGGCGCGCTCGCAGCGCCCCTACAAACACGTCGAATGCCAGCCTTTTCATGGGTGGCTGGCATTTGCGTAGGTAAAATACGCGACCTCTATTCCAAGGCCAGTCAGGGTGGTCAGGGTAAAGTTTGTCGCCGTTCGGCATTGTGGTGCATGCCACGTAGGCCTTACCCTCTTCAAAAAGCCGTTCTTCCTCACTGTCCCAGTTATCGTCATCGCTGAGGTCCGTGTCCTTCATCTCGTCAATATCGGATGCGATCCTTGTACCGCTGGGAGGGCAAACTGAACGACATGAAACAGAACTCGAAGAGCTGGACGAGCTAGAGGAGCTAGACGAGCTAGAGGAGCTGGACGAGCTAGAGGAGCTGGACGAGCTAGAGGAGCTGGACGAGCTAGAGGAGCGAGACGAGGAAGACGAGCGCGACGAAGTGGAAGACGAGCGAGACGACGAGGAAGACGAGCGAGACGACGAGGAAGACGAGCGAGACGAAGAGGAAGACGAGCGCGACGAAGAGGATGAAGAGCGCGACGAAGAGGATGACGAGCGAGACGAAGAGGAAGACGAGCGAGACGAAGAGGAAGAACCAGAGGAGCTGGCCGTGTTGGACGAACTAGAGGAGTTTGACGAGCTGTTGTCATGAACAATGCAAGGAATAGGAGGAGGAACCACAGAGGCTGAAATCTGCTCTGGGGCGGCAACTTGCACCGGGGATGCTTTTGGCACGGGAGGAGGAAGGTAGACCCACGCAGGAGTGGATGGCAGAATAGGGGGAAGGGCGGGTGCAGTTCTCGCTGTTGAACTAACGGTCTGTGAAGCCGCGCTGGTATTAATTCTTTTGCCGAAGACCGCGCGCAAGATTTCTTGTTTTGTTGGCGATGCTGGTCGCCTCGATGAAGATGTTAAGTTTCTGTAGGATTTGTTACGCGTGTTATTCTTGACACACTTTCCCTTGTCTGCAGATTTGCTGTCATCCTTCTTAGGATGTTTCAGTCGTACTGCTTCCTCATCGCGGTCTTCGCCAAAAAGCTCCGATAATTTCCGCTTCTTCTTGTCGCGAGATTCTGTTCTTCCTTCAACAGGATATTTGGAATAACATTCGAGCATGACTGAAGGACCAGAGTGCCAGGCAACCAGAAAAGCATTTGCGGCATCACGGGCGCTATTGGCAGCTCTGGTGACGGAGGTCTTGGCTTCGAAGGCGCTTGCCTGGGTTTGGGAGAGCTTCAGGAGCTCGCCAGAAAGCTCGGTGACGGCGAACGACAATTTCTGATCCTGATGAAATGAAAAGAAATTAGAAATCTACCTGGAATGTGAACAAGGACGCAATATGGAACGTATGAAATAGGATCACACACATTACACAGATTGCAATCTCAAAGGGCATGAACACTGGAGCTTGTAGGAGTAAGAAAGACCATGACGCTCGCGTTAATGCAGAAAGAATTTACTAATCAATCAAAATGACGGATAATAGAGTAAAAGCAGCGGCCCATAAAACAATTAAGAAACTAAAGTCAACTACTGAGCCAATTGTACAGTAAATGCATCATAGCGTCAGTCCCGTGCGATTCAATGATAACCCGAGGACGCTGATTGAATTTTGATTGATTAAAACATTGAGGAAGCAAAGCAGACTGAAGCAGACTAATGCAATGCAGAAAGTTTCATTATACTATAGTAAGAGTTGATGAAGGAAAATGTTCATCACCAATCATTAAGATGAGAAAAGTATTAATAAGAACGACCGTGTGTTCGATTACAACCAGGAAAATTTGCAAGTTTTCCCATCACACGTGCATAAAAAACAGGCAAAATAAATGCTTTGGTTAGTGGAACAGCCAAGCAACACTCAAGAGCCTACCAATAAGAGTTGAGGCGTCATCGAGGCTCTCCAGGAACCCGTGTGTTTTGATCTACCCACAAAATTATCCTTAAAATATTGACTGCAGATGATCACTGTACTTGGATGGACACAACACTTCATCGTGAGCATTTAAGCTAGCAAATGACACATCGTGATGTGTCAGTGAATCACAAGGAGCATGAGCGTAAAATGTGCAGAAAGCTTCATTTACCTCATTTAATCCTCACAAAAGCTTGCTGAGCTTAGAAAGGTTAAATCTGAAGCAGTGAGCTGCAACACTTCATTCACACGTAATGTTAGTCACTCATAACAGCGATGTACGAGAGCCATTGGCGTACAGAGATGAGCGTTAGTGGGACATGCATTCTTGCATGGGAAACTTGCAAGCAGATTATCAGCAAAGCCTTCAATATAAGTGTAATTTAAGTGGAGGTATGTAGCAAGACCTGCAACTGTTAAAACTAACATAGGTAAATGTAAAGGAATTACGGAATTATGTGCAGAAAGATCTATGAACGGCAAATGACTGACTGGAAAAGTGTAAAAGTGTTCAAGATTTGATGATGCATCAGGATTGCCCTCCCCAGGGGAATATCGCAGCTCGCATGAAAATCGCTGATAGGAATGCAATGAAATTTAATGAGGCTAACAAGCACTGGAATGAATATAAGATGGAGAGATAATGCTAACATATTCACTACAAAGGAAGTCATAAGCGACATCAACTCGTGGATGTGTTGCACCTTTGAGAGTTTTTTTTTAGATTATACGTACGTAACTAAGGAAACGTTAGAGTTATGTATAGTATAGTATAGTATCTTTGGCGTTGAAGAATAGGCCTGTCGCCGATTCTTGCACTTTTCTGGACTAGTTCACAGATCTAAAATCTTGGATTTTGATCATATCTTTTCAACGGACGGTAGGTTTGAAATAGTTTCTAGACTTTCAGTTGTTCCGTAGGGTACTAGGCATTACAAGACTAAACAAATGCTCCTGCATGGCCTTGTCTAGCCTGTTCTTGAAAGCGTTCGTACTCTGAGCGTCAGCAGTATCATCAGGAAGGCTATTCCACGACTCGAAGCGAGAAGAAACTGTCTCTTATACACATCTAGATGTGTATAAGAGACAGGTATTAGGAGAGACAGCCAAGGCTTCCCTTGAAAGATAATGACGGGAAACAACAAATATTCTTGGGCCAATGAGCTACAACACTTCGTTCATTCATGGTGCTAGTTTATTGGTACCAGTCGTATTATTGGCGCCGGCAACAGTTACCTTTCTTTATTGCTATCATCGCTTAACTTAATGAACTGATGAGTCGGAACTGATATCACCTTTACGATGTTAGCAGTAATTTTCAAAGGCTGTGATCGCTTCTAAGAAAGGAGATGAAGAAGAGTTCAATTATTCTGAAGGGCGCACCGCCAGCATTGACACCAACCTTTTCGACCGTTGTGCTCAAACAGGACACGCGCTTGGCCGTCTTGCGCTCGGATGTCTTGTTATGAGGGGCGGCGAGTGGGGCCGGGTTCAGCAGTGGCAGGCGCTTCTCGCTCGTTGCTACGTCCTGTTAATAGGGAAAAATATTAGCTTATACTTGTGGCGACTGTGAGGGCAGCAAATTATCATACACAGAAATAGAAACCATTAACAATACATCATCTTGAATTCAGATCAACTGAACAGGTTGTACAACCCTGCAATATCGTGACAGGGTTTTACACATTTAAATACGCCTCATAGTCAGTTTCATAGCAGTTATTTGTTATGGACGAGATGTTCAAGCATCACACACGAGTCAGAAAACAAGAAAGCTAAGGCCACATTATCAATAAAGATTTAGATATTGGCTTCCAAAAAAGTCCTATTTTTCAATTTTTCAAATTTACATTCAGTGAAATCCAAGCATGGCTAAATATTTAATTTAAATAAAGCAGCTGCATTTGAACAAACTTGAATTGCTCATTTCATAAAATTTACTTATTAAATCCTGTGGGCCAGATTTGACCAAATCCAAACTGAACCTAAATCCTGGGAACTTTGAGCTACTGACCAGGTCAGAAACATTGCTTATCACTTGAAAGGTAGAAGTAGAAAGAAGGAAAGACATGGAGTAACCAACAACAAATTGCACAACACTTCACTCTATGAGCATACAGGTGTTCAACAAGTAAGCTCTATGAACAAAATCAAGTGCTATAAAAATCCCATGAACCCTGACAACATGACAATGTGTTTAGAATTTAACAAAATATCTTAATGTATCAATTGCTGCAATATATACCCAACAGTTTAGTCAGAGTCAAGAATAAAGAACCAAGCTTCACGGCAATCTCAAAGGTCATTGGGTAAAGAAGTTCAACAAAACTAAGGGAAGCCGGGAAAACCACATATGGAGAAGAAGGGAACGTTTCTATTTACTGTCAAATAATTATTAGATTACTCAGGAAGCTAATTAGAAAAAAGAATTTTATCAATTTAAATTTTTACTTGGTTTGCGACATTGCGGAGCGCTTGTCTTCCCAGCCCACTTCCGACTTTTTAGGAGGTAAATTTTTAATAAGCAAGTGTAAGCTTTGAGGCCTAGGCTGAATATTCATGCAGTACCAGACTACGAAGGTCCCCTCCCTCCCCCTCTCTCTTACACCCAATTTGCGTGAAAGAGAGACTTCTTCTCAAGTTAACTTTCATCTCAAGTTAACTGCTTGCTTAGCCGTGTTTGTCGAGAAGGGGGATATGGTGACACTCTAATTTGCCAAACTCTTGTCACCTCGCATAAGTTTGAATGGAATTATTTCACCGTGCATCGCGTACAAGGTATTGGCTGCCGAAAACTGCATTCATTACACCCCTAAATGTAGCCAAGACACAAAACCATCCTTAAATGTCACACCAGTAATCTCAATAATGCCTGGCAAGTCATCTCAATAATGCCTGGCAAGTCATCTTAATAATGCCAGGCAAGTCATCTAAATAATGCCTGACAAGTACAAAATTTTGAGACAAAGCACTGAGTCCATTCTGTTAGAGTGACCCTATATGGGCCCCAGTCATGTAAAAACTTCAACTCATATTAAGGATAAAGTGCTAAGTAGAGAAAAAATGACTTGTGTTACAATGAGATGTTATGTTGCGAACTTACCATTGTCACTCTTGGGATGAGCTGCCACACTGAGTTCATGCAAAGACAATTCTAGAGTCTTAGAACAGCAAGCAAGAAGACTTTCTGAATAACCTGTTTAGATAGGTGCTGCTCTAGCAATTATTGGTTTTGAATCACAATGAATTGTACTTCTGTTTTTTAAACCTGAAATGAAAATTAAAGTTGGTGAACACAAATGAATATCACTTCCAAAAAGATATAGACCTCTTTTGGTCATTCAATGAATTGGATTTATATAATCCTAATGCTCAATTCATGAGAGCATCATATCAATTAAAAACCTGGTATCACTTAACATGGCAGTGAATTAACCTCATAAATTTAATAAACAATTAATAAAAATTACAAGTGAACTTCTATTTTAACAAATATGCTCTGCTGATCAATATGTGCAGATGCACTCAATTTTTTACTTTCCTACAAGATGACCTTGTTTTAAATGAGAAAAATTCATGTTAATAATTGTTCTCTAGTCATTTATGAACATTCTTGCGCTCAGAGTTTAATTTAACACAGCTGCATTACAGTGATTGAGAATGCAGGAGACATCTTCACCACTGGTACTGACCAAACACTTACAAGAATCCATGCTGTTAATGCAATTTTTTTGTGCATAACTGATGAGGAACTTTCAGGTATTCAGAAGTGCACATATAGCAAAGTATGGCAATGATTTCAATGTGAGTGTCAGTCTCTAAAATAATTAGTTGTGAATTAAAGAGCCATGAAAAGTGCAGCAATTGATAGGAAATGGTCTGGAGTGCATTGGGGTCGGAGGGGAGGGTATGAAATAGAGTGTATGGATACAAGAGCATTGATACAAGAGCATTGATACAAGAGCATTGATACAAGAGCATTGATACAAGAGCATTGATACAAGAGAATTAGAGCTTTTAATTTAGTTTGGAAAATCCAGTAGTTTGGTAAATAGAATAGTTTCTGCAGTAGGAGTAGCAGTAGCTAAGAATTACTATGAGAAGCACATGAGAGTGTGGCAATTCCTGATATACATTTGGTTTGGAATGGATGTGACTGCATGGAATAATGTGAGCTAGAAAGATATGAGGTGATACTAAATATCATGGCATCATAGACATTAGAAGCCACTAGGTGGACTCAAGCGGATGTCAGGAGCATACACATGGGATTTAAGTCTGTTAAATGAGGGATGAGAGCAGATTTTAAATTTATATTCTAAAGACTGTGCACTGAATGACAGGTGCAGAGATGTAGATGTTAAACATGAGGATGATCAAATGGCAATAAGTTATGCTTTAGCACTTGAATATGCTAAGTAACATCAAATGAGTAGACCCATTGCATTGGGTAGACTCATCGCAATGCAATGAGGGAAGGGTGGCCCAGTGGTTAAAGTTCAGAGTACCAAGATTGATGCACTAGAGAGGCACGGGTTCGATCCCAGCTCTGTACGTGCGACAGCTTCTGGTCAGAATCGGCGAGGAGGAGGAGCTACAATTCTGCTGTGCTAGGAGCACAGCAGAATTGTAGCAGTGAGATGCGAGTTCGAGACCTCAAAAGGCTGTGATTGTTATGCGATGTTAAGAATCGGCGACAGGCCTACCGCCTAATAAACGCTGAAACCGCTATTATTATGAGAAGTTCAATTGGTGTGAGAAAATGTTTGGGAGAGCAAAAATGCAAGGGAAATAGAATAATTCATAAGGGGATATAGAAAAAATTATTTCAATGACCATACAATTGATGGCAAAAGTTATAGTTCTATGATTGAGATTATTAGTTACTTAGAGAGAAGGGAAATAAGGAAGAGGGATGGAAACTGCCAATGCCAAAAGAATTTTTACACCTGTCCATAAACAGAGCAATAACTATTGTCCATACTAGCAATGCATAGTATATAAGAAATAATGCATGTAGGTTCAGAAAAAACACTAAATTAGACAGAAAATATATATAAATCAGTGCAACAAAACCACAATCGCAATACCACTGAATGTCTGGTCCTTGTCAACTATTTTTTAATGAAAAACACTATCAATGGCAATTTTTGAGCAACTTTTCTCTACAACCCAGCTGATTTCTAATTTTATGAGGAATGCAAGTGACAACTAGATTTATAGATTAATACATTGAAACTAAAATGAAAATATGGCCAAAATAACCATGAATAGTCCAAGTCACCTGTATCCCAGTTATTGCTATTTCACCTGGGCCCGAGTTCCATGAGTTAATATAAAAACAATACCTTCAACATTAAGAAGAGTGTCACATTCTTCACAATAATTCTCAAAAACAATGCATTAAACAAACCTCTTTCAACCAACATTTAGTGCAGACAAAGGTCAGGTAGATTTTGAAATCAAAAAATGTAACCAGTTTATATAAATAGTATATACAATTGGTATAGATGGGCAGTAGTTGTTCTTTAATGCAAATTCAACTGAAGACCAAAGAGTATTCATATTTACCAATCTTATATTGTTTTTCTTGATATAGCAGATTAAATTTTATGTAGTATTAAAAATTAGAATGAATACATGGTTTACAAGGAATATTTTATTTATTAAAACATTTTTATTTAGCAAGAATCATTTTCAAGTAAATGAAGAGCTTTGCAATATACTTATAATTAAAATTTTAATATGACATTGGTCAGCTGGGATCACTGCAGATGCAGACTGAAAATCAAAACTTAAAATCTCAAAAGAATATATCAGCATCCAAATGAATAAAGTTGTTATCGAGTTTAAAGCTGGAGCCTATTTTCTGATGAGGTCTTCAGTTATCGTCACTCTTGTAGTGTCAAGGACGCATGACAAGCTTCCAGTGCTAAGCATGTGATGTCTTGTTGACATTTATAATTGAGAATTTGTGGATTGAGCAAGCTAATCCCTGCAGATATGTTGCTCAGAATATTATAGTGGAAGTATTTATAGGCCAATGCATAAGGATCTTACACAGACTTTTAAATTAATGATGGTGCCAAGGTGGAATAATTGAGGTGCCATAAATAAACTAGAAAATGCATATATAATTGGATCACTAGACCTGGAAGAAGGTCTTTCCTTAATTATAACACTGATTATTTTATATCAAGATAAGGTGATCCTGTTTGGTTTACCATTAAATGTCTCATATGTAATAAGAATATTAAAGACCATTCCTGAAATTCCACCATGTTGGTCAGTTGCCAATTGAAAGAATCATACATAAATACAAAAAATTTGTTCATATTTTATTCTGCAGTACAAGACTACATTACTGGAGATGTGTTAACTGATTTAGATTAATTTTGGTTTGTTTATTTGAAAAATCATAACTTTAACCTTATCATATCAGGATCTAAAAATTCAGGAATAATCCTATTGCCTTGAAGTCAGTAGGTATATGAAATAAAATTGAAAAATTCATATATTCTTGAAAACTTCAGGTTATTGAAATTACAGAACGATTCAACAATAAAGTAATTTAAAATGCTTTGGGCATTTGGCTTTGCATTTTTGCTTCTGTGTATCAGTGGTGCTGCCTAATGCAGGAACCAGCAGAAAATGCCCATCATATTCCCTTTGTAAAGACAAGAACAGCAGATGAATTACAGTATTTCTTCATAGTTTCTGCATGCTCATTCTCTTAGAACTTATCCATCACAGCTTTGAAGCCTCTCCATGCTGTTAATTCTATATTAAGAGTTGTTAGAAAAGTCTTGTCCCATACTATCTGCTGTACTATTTGCAGCACACACACCAGGGTGCAGAGGGTGCAAGCAGCATCGCCAATAAACGGATTTTTAGCCCAAATCATCGCCAACCATTTTAAGATCCATTGCCGGATAATTTTTAATTAGAAAATGCTGAAGCAACTTTGATAGTATATCCCTTACTCTTCACATACCGCAACACTTACACACATCACAACTGATTTCTGGACAAGCTTCACTGCATCCTGATCCATGTGGCTTACCAGAACCTTACTGCGTGCGCCTATGGTATTTCAGATTTGCAGTAATTTTGAAGTAATTTCTAAAATGCAATAATTTCAATCCAAATGTGTTGGCAAGATCTTCAGAAGATGTATATAAATTTTGCTGCCAATGCATTGCTAAATATATTTTGATATTCACCCACTTTCTGCACCCTGGCTTGAATATTGGGCAGAATATCCCAAAAATTACATGCAGCAACTTGTTTTATAGAGGCTTTTTGAAAATTTTTACAAAAATGAGCTATATTTAGTATTTTTATAAAAAATTAGGTAAAGGCTATAAAAATTATTGACACTGACTGCAAACATGGGTGCTTTTGTCTAATAAAGAGCGTCTGTCCTAAAGAGCGTCTTTTGCCTAATTTTTCAGAATGGACTTAAATGCATTGAGATTTTAGTAATATGTTAGAATTTGGAACAATTAAATCTTGCTCAGAACAGAAGAGTCTAAAATTTCCCTGACTCTCTGCCATAGGTGATTTTACAGAGATTTTTTATAATTTTATAATCAGATAATTTTTAATTTCCCAATTTACTTGAGATGAAAAAAATATCTTGTGTATGGTAATGCTGGTACCCATGATACTTTACTGGTTTACTTGTAGGACTCAAAATGAACTAGAGGAAGCGTCCAAAAAACTCTCTGCTTTGCCTGTTTTCCACCATGCATTAGTCATAAATGAAAGTTCAAGATAAAAAATTACCATGCTTGCCTACAATTCCACCCATTTCTTTTGTCCTTGATAAATTTGGTTAAAATAAAAATAATAGCAAAATTTAGCCTGCAGTTTTTTAGAATCATCTTCACAAGTTTCATTTTCATCCTAGATTTTTTGAAAATTCTGTTCCAGATTGACAGTCAATGACTCATGAAATACAACTCTGCAGATACTGCTCTAAACTTGCCACTCCATAATAAAAACCATATAGGTACTACTGGTCAACAAAAGTTTGACTTGTAGGGTTTGATTAAATTATAATAACTACAAAGCTTTTTTAGTTGCATTGAAATATTATGCTTCAGTGGGTATTTAGTTTTATGTTCAAAATAAATTGTTTCAGTTATGGTCAGCAACATTAGTGCAGTGGCAACTCTG